CTAAATGTTTCTCAATAGAGAACAAGCTATACAGTGCAACCAGACGGTAGAGTACCTGAAAGTGTAGAGTAAGCGGGGAGGGAGCGTTTTGAATTCCATGATTATGTTGGACCTATACTTTTTCAAAGAACATGAAATTTATGGCTTCTGGCTGGACTCTTGTAATGACGGTAGGAAGGGAGGGAGCAGGGGTGGGGAGGAAGGGTGGAGAGGGGGGAGGGGAAGGCACGACAATGCATATAACTGGGAGTTGCTCGTGCTAACTGAGTGATTCCAGAAGACCTGTCAAGTAAAAATGCTTTGCCGCGCTGTGGTGCTCTAGTGGCATGTGGTCCACTAACACACGCACAAATGGTTAGGGGATTAACCCCCGCTCCATTCTCGCCCAGGCCAGGGTTATTTTTTACTTGCTACCCTAGGATCTGTAAGACGTGATGAATGACTTCCCTATTTCAAGTAGTACCAGTGTGGAACGATGGTAGGTGGAGCTTCCCAAAAGTAGGTGGAGTGTGTGCGCTGTTACCTCCTTTTCGATTACAGTTTGATTTGACCAACTCACTCGATTCCGTTATTCACTTTTTGGAGTGGATGCACTTCGAAACATTGCTAAGGATATTCCTTGAAGCTTTTGGTAAACTATCCCCGTTATATATTCACTATTTTTATATGGTTTACGGTAGTATAATGCTGAATAGCGTTTGATATGGTCTTTTTATTAAAATGACTCATGATGGAAAACCTTGGGTGGTCGGGATTTGTATTTTAGACCATCACACTGGAACTACAGTGCTTTGGAGCTAATCCAAAGAAATCGTCCGGGATTCGGTTTCCAAATGGGTCATGGAGATCAGGGGAAGGGGCTACACTATTGAGCGCTTATAGCAACGGATCATTTGCTGAGTATAACCCGGTCAGGAGTAGCTCATCGTCTAGAGCGTGTCCTCTATCGTATACCAGTGGCCAGTGGTCTTACAGTCGATACTTCAAAGGCATAAAATCGATAGTTTGCTTAAATTATCGCTTTTAAATAAATATTATTTTGTCTAGATACTTACTTTTTTGATTGGGAGTTGTTCTACTTCATCGACAAATTGTCGACTCCAGTCGATGATCGTTAATTCAGCGTAGGCAATGGAAAGCTGTTGAGCTCTATGTACCTGGAACATTGCCAAAGTTATTTTCTTTGTAGGCTTTGAAAATTGAATAAACAATAAACAGTGGAAATGAATAGAGTGCTCCATGCCTAACCTCCTGTCCACTGCAATTCTCTTTCAAAGGTTCCGACGGAGCCACTAAGACCGAACTGGTACTCACCTGGACGTTGTTACGAGCCGAAAATGTGCATTTTTTCCTGCTTTCGATCTCGTCAGCAAGATCGGCTGCGGTTTGCTTGACATAGTAATGGATCAGCCATTTATACGCATCTATTATATCTGGAAGTGGCAACAAATACAATAAACAAGCAAACAACAAACACAACGCAGCTGACTAATCTGCTAATGAACCAAGCCAGGCCTGGCGTGGCACAGATGCCTGGTCAGATATCCTTTTTTGTGGATGGGCGTGGCAAAGTTCCCTGAATAGGCAGTATCTGGGCCACGCCCATCTACAAAAATGAAGGTACGGTACCAATCAAATTCCTACCGTGATCCCACAACTTCTTTACAGTATTATTGGCGCAGTATCATGTAAGAAGACGCAACTTGGTTGCGCAGTAGCGGTATAAAACAATAGTAATGGGATTACGGTAAGCAAGAGGATCTTGACCGATTTTCGTTTTTAAGGGCTAGCTCAGATTTGATATGGAAGATTAGGTAGGTAAGAACTTACCATTAACAATATCACTACTGAAATCACTGAAGAGTTTTGGTGTGTCATAGAGGCAATCGAATGTGCACATCGGTGTAGGGGTTCTTGGATTTCGAGCCTGAAAGCAAGCTTACGGGTGTAGAGTCTAGTCTAAGATAATGAAATGAAAAGTAGATGATATCCCATTTGAACGCGTCTATGCCTGATGTGCCTTTCGTATCCTTTTTGGTGAAAACGGGAGATGACTCAACTCTTGGTTCAGTTAGACTTGAAGGTTCAGAGAAGGATGTCTTAGTCGAAAGCTTTGAAGACAAACCTTTGAGTTAAATAAATAAATGATTTCTTTATAAATTAGGATATGGCCTACCTTTTGAAGCAAAATATTACTGGTTTGTTGCAAAATCATGTAGTTTTCCCCTTCAAATGTCTGTGATGGATCAAAGCTGTCACGTAGTTCGTTCAGTCGTGAACTGTGTAGAAAACTGAAAACAGCTGTAGGCTCGATGAAGGATAAGTGTAACGATGAGGGTGGGAGATACCTAAGACGTGGAGGATGATCCCCTTATTAGTGTTTCTTATCTGTTTGGTGGTACTATCTCCTCCTACCCTTGTAATGCAAATCATCATGTGGAAGTGCAAAAGCATTTCAAGAGCTCTGTCCGACAATTCCGCTCTTAGACTGCCCTTCGAGATGTTTTGGGGTAACATGTTGGAGGGTAGGCAAACAAAACAGGAAAGAACCCTGCATAGAACAATGTCATGCTTGCATTACGCATTGTAGGGTTCTTCAGCTGCACCTGTTTCTTTTGGAAAAGTCAAAGGTTCCTACCCATGTCCTCCACATGCTCGTCGTGCTTCACCAAGTGCTTCAACACCAAACCATGTCGACACAGGTTTTGCAGCTGCTGAGAGGGCATGAATCTCCTTTGAGAATTCCATCTGTAACAATCAAGATATCATAAAAACGAGTCCTTCGTTGTTCCACGGGACCTAAGTATAACTTCCAGCATGCTTGGCTACTTCGGTTTATGATGTTCGGGACAGAAAAAAGTGGGGAATACAATAATGAATCTGCAAGGAGAGGGTATGCAAAAGTTGACTCAGCGTCATCCGAATGTCTTTCCATGCAAAGAAATCCTCATAATATTTTATGAGACACCGAGAATGGTTTAGTTATGTGAATTCCGAAATTTTATCGGTCTATTCATCGCAACTCCCACGTTTCTTGAATCTGGGAGAGCTGCTCATTCAGAAAAGACCTTGACACAACGTTGAGGGACGGATGGTTGTTTGTTGCATGGTGCCGTTTTGTTGTGATGAGTAGTGCGTAAAATCAATCTCGATTAAAGAGAGCTTCCTTTCCTTCGAAAATTTCCAGGGTGAGTGATATGGAGGATGAAAATGCTGCCGTTGATATTAGTTAGGTAGGCATCCTACAAATAAGGCACCCATTCAATTCAATTAAGTCTCTAATTGGCAGTTCGATGGTGTGGCTCGTCAGAGAAGGGATGATCAATGAGCATATTTCATTTTCAGATATGATATTCACCGTGATGTTAAAGTTGATCTTTAGACACTAACCAGCTCGTCAGACTTCTCGTTTTGCATCATGCGTATGATGTAATTCGTGAAGTGCTCCATAAGCCTAAATTACAAGTAGCCAGTGGAACGAATTTGGCAGTATCCTTTTAGCGGACCAAATATCCACAAAATGTTGTTGAAGGAAAAGCCTACGAAATCTATATTCGAATATTTTGAAACTTCAAGCATCCTATTCAAGCTTCTAGACGGAGTAACATAGCATCATTCTCTAAAACCAGCAATGAAACCGGTTGCAGTGCTCGATGATCTGGCATCGTCTCCTCATCTAGTAGTTCCTCTCAAAAAACTAAAAAATTATGCAAACGAGGAAGGCAGGCTCGAATGGCAAGCTCCGCTACCAGTGTCTGCAGTGCACAGAGTGACTACCGCCTTTGGACCGAGGGTGCATTTACACTCGGCGAACGGCGGTTGCGACTATACGGCATAGTGACAAATTATGGAAAATCAGAGAGGCAGTAGAAACGGCAATGAAAAAGGTCTATCGTGGAACCGCTGCATATTGTTATGAACAGTCTTAGGGGGGGGGGGGGGNGGGGGAGTACCAGAACCCTCGACTTATTGTTAGTCGCAAATTCTGCAACTCTCCAATGTTGAGCTTTTCGGACACCGTATCGGAGGCAGTATTTATTGTGATGATGAGACTTCAAAAATTATTAGTGGTAGCTTACTTTTTATGAAATAACCGAATGGCAAAATGTCCAGCCAAGTAGGGAAACAGACGATGTTGTTGGAGTGGGTACTCGATGACTGGGAGCTCATCTGAAATATGACAAAAAATGGTCACTTAAGTGGTTGGTAAGCTCAGAAAACATGAAAGGTGGAGTATCGTGAACTTTGCCCTCTGTAGGGGCCTATCTACATTCGCTTTTACTCTGGAGGGATTCTTGCTCATACGCCTCCACCACTATTGAGGATTTTAGGCAGTCCCGACACGTCCCTCTCACACAGTCAGCAATGACCACGCTGTTTTGGAGAAACCGTACCTCCTTTGGTTTCGCCAAATTGACGCCGACAAGCGCTGTAACGAATGGCAATAGTTGCAGCCAAACCACTTGCTATGACACCTTTACCGATGATGCCAATCCTGAAGCTCGGTAATGTTGGGAAGAAAAGATCTATATAGTCATTCAAATAGCACAGTCAAAGGTAAGGATCTTCAAGTGACCGCATGAAATCACCCCATACACGCACGCGGTTGCGAAGCGGTCGGTTTCACCAGAACACCTCACAAACTGGATTGCGCACCTTACCTTCCAATCGACAACGCTCCCAAGCTGACGGACTGTCGCTCAGCAGACGTTTTATAGCTGGACACATATTTACCAGTGGCTGTTACTTCACAGCCCTTATTCAGTAGAGTCCACAGTGGAGCGCGAAGATTCTGAAATCTACTCACGATCTAGTAATGCAAACTGATTAGCCAGTAGAAAGTTATTTAAAATATTCTACAGAGGTGGTGTAAATTTACTTCGAAGTTGAGGTATAATCAAAATTCACCTTGAACTCCATCCAGCCATTCTCGACTCCATTCCATGCTCCAGGCTTCTCGCCCATATCACCAATGACGATTCCGGGAAGCGGCTCGAACGTTACTGGATCTCTTCAAAGTATATAACTGTCATTATTTACGGTATAAAACGGTGTAAAAAGCTAGAGCTGGAAGGTATGCTGGACTGTGTGTTTAAATGCGGATTGATCCACGGTCCGTGCTTGTTGGTAGTGCGTCAATTACAACTATACCAGATTTGCCTATGTATAATAATACAGTACATTACAAAGAAACCAGCTGGTTTCTTCGTACCCTTCTCCGAGGAAATTATCCGGACGAAAAAAAGTTTAAGGGTTTGCTAGGAATCAAGTTTATAATGGCAGAAACAGCATCAAAGGCTCTTTTTCGAACTATGGTCTGGCAGGTGGACTGAATGATTATTTCTCTTGGGCTTTGCTCGAATTCTTACTAAAGGGGAGCTTTACTCATCGACTTTTGGACTACGCCACGTAACTGACTTCTATTCTGAAACACAGTGTCTTCCGAATGCATGAATGGACTTTGAACCAGACATATGATATCCCTTAAATGTAAGTCTTATATCTTCCATACCAACTAGTCACCGTTTAACAGAGCCCAGGAGGACAAGGAAAATCGATCCTGCATCTTCCTTAAATTGCCCCTTGGTTCTGCGGGCAGTTCGGTTTCTCTATAGAAATTATATCATACCTGACTTGCAATACAAACGCATGCACTCCTTCACATTTGCCTTGGATATAGAGTTGAGCGAATACGACCGCATGGGTTGCAGAATGAGCTGGAACGAAAACTGACTAGGGACTCGCTTATTAACAAAATCTAGTCTTTTGGGCGTTACCAAAGAAGGATGACACGTACATAAGTTTCCAGCCCAACATTTGATAGCCTGCTCGGACGGGCAGTTGAAAACGAATTCGCCATTATCAAAGGTTGCTGTGGTTTGGATTTCTTGAGTATTAGACCCGTGACCAAGCTCGGTGAGGCAAAAGCAGCCAACTATCTGAAATTGGGAACCGTTCAGAAGAAGGTGTTGGAAGGCTAGGGCCCTAACGATCGTATCCATCTATCTGATAGTGTTTTGCCCCTGTATACTGGAAGATATCGTTAGGGCTGAGCCCAAATATTTCGCGTGGCAAATTTCAGTGGAAAATTTTTGCCGCTCGACATAGACGAAAAATTCGCAAAAAGGTCCAACAATATATAATCACATTTTATCTGTACTTATTAGTTTACAGTCCAAAACATAACCAGGCGTTATGCACAACCAATACAGCAGTCTCTCCGTCTGTCCTTCTGCTAATCTAATCACTGGCTTTATGTCATTCCGTCATATTACTTTTGGAACATTCAGTTCTGGATTAGGAGACCCTGAGTTGTTCGGGGACACCTCCAATAGCATGGTATGAACAGAATGTTCATAACGTGCAGCTCAGGCGGATGGGAAGGAGAGCTATCGAGGTTGCGCGTTTCAGCGGACTGGTAAAGATAGCAAACCATATTCATAGCTCATAGAATGGAAACCTCGTTCCTTCTGGTTTTCTCCAAGATATCGTCATGTCGCTTGGTACCCATTGATGCTACCGCCATGCCAAATACCTAAAAAGCTTCCGAGATGTGCTGAGAGGATCCTGGGCATTACTCAAAAAACCTACCGACGAGTGCAGAGCTAGGCGGGCTGACAAGCCTTGGTCGTATGTTTCGAGTACTTCCATAAGGCATTGGTAGCCTTGGGGGTCACTGTATTGCTGAAAAATATCGTACCTTACAATTCACTCCTTACTGACACCATAAAGTAAAGCTCTGTTGATAGGATTATTGATTTAATTGATCGAACTTATCAGAACAGATTGTATAGGTTCACATCAAGCGGTAGTTTCAGCTCGACAATCCGTTTCCAACGCCGATGGTTCAATTCCCTGAGCTGTTCGAGCGATGGTCGATCGTAGTTACGAGCAAATAGGGGGTCCTTTCTGAGCGCTTCGTAGATTTGATCCTTCAATTCAAATTGTATAACAATTTCATCCAAATGAATTTGGAACTAGTCCTCATACCTTGATTTTCACATTATCCTCACCTTCCACTACATCTTTCAGCTCGTGAGATTTGATTGTAGCCTTTTTACGATATTCATCCAATGGTGAGGCCATCAAACTCTATTTCCTGTAAACACTTTGTAACAACTTATTGGGAATTTTCAAAATGTGGGAGGATCCCAAATGATCGTGGTGTATGTGCGACTGTACGGGTTAGCGATTCTTGTGCAGAGGAGTTTTCTTGAGGTACCCTCACTACTTAACGGCTCTTTCACGCATATCGGTAGAAGAACAACAAGAAAAGTAGCAAAAAGGGCTGTGCTTCCAGCAGTAGAGAGTGAGGATCTTGAACTCTTATCTGCAACCCAATTCGAGAGCTAATATGTCCTGATCCCCCACTCAAAACTTTGGTAAAAGGTCAAGAATTGGCTTTCTATAATATTTCCTCATTGGACACTTCCTCACTTGAGAAGCTAGAAGGTTATGGCCCATAAAAATTCATAAAACACAAAACTAACAAGTGATACTGTGTTGGGGAAACACGATGTCATAATGTATCAGGATAATAAATAGAGGAAAGATCGAGAAATCCGAGGATGAGAAATGCAAAAAGGTATTCAACAAACCATTCATTGACACATGTAGCAGGTGACTGTTTTTGAAAATTTGAAAAAATGGACTTTTATACTTCAACACAACCTCCAGGCCTTTAATCTTCTATGTAATGCTTGCATAAAAGTACTGAATCAGATGTCATGCCATGTTCAAAGCCCTCATCATCAAGGGCAGACCAGGTACCAAAGTACTCTTGCGTGGTGTTTGTTAACAACACTTGTTTGTCGAACCACAAAAAAAACTGTATTCCACATCAACAGAGGCGAACCATGTGCCTCATAGTTTGTTCAGATTGTTGCGGGGAACTGTCTGAGAGGAAAAAATTGGTAGAAAAAAACAGCAGAACCAAAAAAGGGGCAGGAGACACTCAGTAGAGTACCCTATTAGGATTATAGGGAACCAAATTTCGACGGGAAACGGAAGGAGGATTCCTACAAAACCGGAGAATATACTACCAAAATTCCTAGAAGTTTCTCTTAAACATCACAATTAGGACAAATTAAAACCCAATCACCAAATAATTTTCTTAGATAGATACCGATTGAATGGGACACCTTATAAAGGCAATAATAAATTATGGTGAAGTAAGATAAGCCAAAAGAAGAAATTAGCATAAAACACAGCACGTGATCATAGTAGTGTTGATTGGAATCAA